CGTCGTGGTCGTCAGTTGAATGTTGCACGAGCACATCGATCGTTTGAATGCATGCACTTCACGGCCGATTGAGGCAACTACGACGTCGAACGTTCGACTACAACTCCGAGATATGTCAAAGTTAATCGGGCAGCAGTTCACACTTTTAAGTGATCCTCGTTTGATGGCTGCCTTTCACCTTTCCTGTGCGATCTCTTAATCTCTAATCTCTGGCCATTGTTACTGGTACACACTACTCGCGGATATATTACACTAATGCCATTCTCTGCTTTGGCGAGAGCATCCACTGCAGTCGTCGGCGGCAGCTGTGGGGGCCACTTTGAATTGGGCGGACTAGTGGCGGGGCGTGCTGCAGGGCGGTTCATTCGCATGTGAGCTTTTTGCACTCTCTCCCTCTCTAGCTCACTCACTCACTCACTTTCTCGCTCTCTTCGATTGAGGCACACAGGCGACGGCAGCGACGGTGGTAGCTGCTGCAGCAGCAGCAGGACGGAAGAAGGAAAAAGTGAGCAGAGACAAGAGCAATAGGGCTGCTAATGACCATCGTTGAGGATGAAAAATGAAGAGATGACCAGCCAGAGCAGAGGACAGCAACGGGAAAAAGGAGTCTACCAGTGATGCGGACAGCAGGCAGGCAAACTTGGCCATCGCTAAATTGGCCAGCGCAATTTAGCAGTGACTTCTCTTCTGAAAGCCAGATCGATATCGATTGCCACCACTTTCAGTCTGGCCAATTTGGTTGCCTCTTTTGCACTCTTCTTTTGGCTGTCGTTGTGCTGCAAACGCTGGCATGACAGTGGTAGTTGTAGTTAGAGCACAATTTGGCCGTTCCACTGCTTGACAAATCGCGTACACTCATGTCGACAATCTTCTGAAGCAGCGTTGAGAGAAAAGTCTGCAGCACTTTTTGCCACTTTGTTATTCTTTGCCTGTAACAACTGAACGAAAACTGGCTCAAACGTATTTCTTTAATCCTCGCCTTCCACAAAGAGATTGTGTTGTCAGTTTATTTGCCGCTGTGCTCTACTGAATGAGTCCCAGTGTGAACGAAGGAAAGTGTGCGGCGGACCTGAGAGAGAGACAGTGTGAACCGCTAATCGGCGGTCCGTCGAGTGACAGCTTCGACAAAGCAGTCAACTTCTTAATCTGCTCTCAATGGGCACGACCTGCCACAGCCTTAACTTCTGCCACCTCAACCGCCCCTTCTCACCAACAACGACATCAACAGCAGCAGTTGACCCTGATTTATTGACTGCTGAAACTCTCAATGAGATCTAAGTTGATGGTGGCTAATATGGCAGCAATTTGGCACCTCGCAATGCTAAAGCAAAAATCAAGTTCGTTGTGCGGATTACCAGTGTCAAACGAGAATAGAGAAAAAATCTGTGATTCATTTTTTAGCGGCAGCAGAAGCAGCACACTTTTTTGTAGCAAAAAATATGGTCTGATCCATCTCTATTGCAGCAAAAAAGAAGCAATGAGGCAAATTGGCTGCGGAGGCTATAATTATTACGAAATATGTCTCTCATTCAGTGGCAATAAACTAGCAGCGGCAGCCCTTTTCGTAATTAAAATCGACCCAAAAGTAGCAGACAATTAAAAGAGGAGCACCAAAAGGAGTTAATTAAAGTCCTTTGCCATTGGAGACAAAGTTGCAGCAGTAGAACTCTGCCGTTTGCCAGGCAATTGGGCTCAAGTGGACGNCCCTTTTCGTAATTAAAATCGACCCAAAAGTAGCAGACAATTAAAAGAGGAGCACCAAAAGGAGTTAATTAAAGTCCTTTGCCATTGGAGACAAAGTTGCAGCAGTAGAACTCTGCCGTTTGCCAGGCAATTGGGCTCAAGTGGACGCGCCTCAGTAGGGTTGCTCTGCTGGCGACGTCCTAAGCACATTTCGGTGGCAGTTCTGCAATGGCACTGCGTGTCCTCTCACTCTCCATTCCGTGTAATGGCATTCGGCATTGCTTGGCTACGCCACCGGCGAGCGAGGCTTGCATGAATTCCACTTTCGCATTCCGATTAGTTGGAATTAATCACCTTGCAGCTGAACACAGCAACCATTAGTCGCCTGATTGCCTCGACGGTCCATTTCGCTGATTGCCACTATAACTTTTGGACGCCCTTCTGCTGCTGTTTTTTGTTCGTTGTACTATAGAAGCACTGACGAGCGCGCTAATTATTGCGCATCGCAGGCTCATATGTGCTTGTTTGTCAAATAAGGGGACGAGAAGGAAAAGTAGAAAAAAGAAGTAAAAAAATAAAAATAAAAAGAGAGAAGGGCACACAATCATACAACTCGGTGACAAATTGGCGCCGACCGGTGCTTTGCTTTGAGCTCTTCTCCTTCTTCTTTCGACCTTGTTCGAGTTCATCCCATCCAGTAGACTGGAACCACTACTACTACCACTACCAGCAGTACTTGGGAGAATACATTTTGCAGCCATTATCCAGGCGGCGGTAATTGGCGGCGCATTGCACTTCAAGCACTCAACTGCTGGGAGATGGGAGACAGCATTCGGCAAGACACTGTGCAGCTTGGAGTTGCTTCAAAGGCGCCATTGGCATCATTCAGTTTCTCTCTCAGGCTACCCTCGCATCAACCTTATTGATTGCAATCTCTTTCGTTCTCTCTCTCGCACCATTCGCTGCAGTGAAAGCTTTCGACCAGTGCCATCGCTGATTGCTGCTTGTAAACAATGTACAAGTTTCATTTTTTCCCGATAATTTGCCTCACTTCAGTCGGTGTTGTGTCCTTTTTGCTGGGAATGGCAACTTCTGCGTTCTGCAGGCAAAGTGACTGAGTAGTGCAGCAGTTGCCAGTGGTACTGAGTAACTGGCGTTCTGGCCAACTGTCTGTCTCTGTGTGTTTGGTTGGTTGGTTGGTTGGTCGGTGCACTTCACTCTCCATGATTGCTGCCTGGAAGATCGAGCGACAAGCGACATGCGGCAGGAGAACAGTGAGAGAAAGAGCAGCTCACAGTGAATACTCGAATAATGACTGTGATGACCGACTGCCGTTGATAATGATTTGCTTCGTTTCGTTTTACTCTCTCCTCTGACATTGTGCCAGTTGATTCCATTGTTACCGTCACTGGTCGTGGTAGTCGTCGTGGTCTTGGTGCTCTTGCTATTGCTGTTGCTGCTGCTGCTGGCTCCGGTCTGCTGTGCACTGAGAGATGCAAGAAGCGCCACAAGATATCACCATTACCAGACCGACAGACGGACAGTCTGACAAACAGTCTGACAAGAAGAGCACGACCAGTAGTGCTGGCAACCCTGAAAGAAAGGGAAATTTTTAACAATAATGTTTAGCTTGGTTTAATTTTTATGAGCAAATTAATCTAAAATCCGATCAGATTTTGGCCATTTATTATTCTCAAATATATTTTTTTATAATTCACTTTTTTCTCCATTTGTAATGTCCTCAATTGTCCAACCAGCTTTTTTAACTCACTTCTGCTGAAAACTGTGTGCACTTTTGGCAGACAGACAAGGACAAGAAAAGCACGACTGGTGCTGGTAGTTGTGGTGGCAGCGGTGCTGACCTCACTGAAGGAAAGGGAAATGGATGAGCACTTGGTCGTACCCAGTGCGAGGGTAGGCTGCAGATGCAAACTGAATGCTGCTGGGAAAGAGAGAGAACGAAATAGCAAACGCAATGGTGGCACACTCTGTACTGCACTCGGCTTGGCGGCACCAAAGCTGGTCCTATAAAGGAGACTCGCTCTCTCTCTCTTTCTCTCTCTCCCTTGTCCTCTGCTACTTTTGATGCAACCAGCGAGGCACGAATTGCCGTTGCACAGTCGCAATTTGTCAAATTGTCATTCGGTGAGTAGTGTCACTGCAGCAGTCGTATGTAATTATTGGCCTGGACACACAGCACTGCCAGAGCACGCATTGCCAACGAGGGAAGACAACATTAAGCAAATTACTTCGCTATGGCTCTCAATGATAGAACAAATTAGCAGAGACTACGGCGGCAACGACGACGACGATGTCCAAAACCTGAAGAGAGCATCAGCAGACAGTAGACAACAGCAGACAAGGCAAATGTGTTCTGGCTACTGCTGCTGCTGTCTCGGTAACAATACCAGTTCAGTCTCTTCTGTTGCACTGTAAAATTGATAATGTTTACCAAATTAATTAAAATGTTTAAGTGTCACCGCCTGAGGATGTCGATGAGAACTGGCGACTGGACATTGTGCCAGTGCTGCTGCAACTGCTGTTGCTGGAGACAAGTAGTGTGACAGACAAAAGGCGCTAGCTAACGCGCAAAAAGATGCACATAGTGCTTCTGCCTTCCGCCTCTTCATTACCAGGCAAGTCGGCGTGAATGGCGTTGTTAGGCGAATTACCCAAAGAAAGAGATAGAGAGAGGGGAAAATTAGTTGAGAGAAAGAGAACGCCAGAAATGACAACAAGCTATCTGGCCAATGGAGAACGCTGGCCGTATGCTCCATCTAACAGCAATTGTGATTAGGATAATTATACAGATAGAGGGAGAGAAAGAGACTGACATTCGGAAAAAGGAGTACACGCCGTGCGCGGCCTGTAAATGTGACGAGTAAGTGCACTCGCTCACTGCAGTGCTCATTGAAGTTGGCTGCCACCGACGCACACCGCCTGTATGCGTTAAGCCTAAGTAAACATGACCGAAACGGAAGAATTTGTCTTTTGCTGTATGATTATTAATAACTACTATAAAGTAACTATATACGCGGGCACGGGGGAAAGCGTCCTCGGGCTGCAGGTCCCTGGTCGCCTTGACCAGGCAGGCACAACGCGCACATTTACGGTGCTCGATAATGCAGAACACAGCACAAAGAGCGAAATATTGCACAGTGAACTGACAAAAAAGAAAGAGAAAAAGAACAACAACAACAAAGGTAGAAAAGGAAGAATCGGAATTGAATGGCCGACAAAAATGAGGGGGAGAGAAGAGAAGAGAGCAAAACGGCGGAAGGAAAGGAGGACTATGTGTTTGTGTGCTCTGATGTGCTCTATCCCTCAGCGCGGCCATTGTCGACGGAGCAGCTTCGCCGTTGTTGACTAGGAGATCGAATTTGCGGTGTGCTGGGCGTGGGCGGCAGTCCATGTGGCATTGCATGTCGATGTACACCGGGAGCATCGATCAGCTTACTGTTGATTTCACCGCGCATGAACCGCTCCAGCTTGTCCACACACGCGTCCTGGTAGTCGTGAATCCATCTAGTAGTAGAGGAGCAAAAGGGGTGTTTATGAGCAAGAAATCAACAAAAGAAGATATGCTGCCATACCTGATTCCATTAAAGTAGCAGATTGGCCTCATGTCTTCGGGAAGTTTTTCCAAATCAGGCCACTGAAAGGATTCCATGATGGGAATGATGTTGCACTTTGTTTGCAGTGCTTGCACAATTTCCTGCAGATAAAGAAGCAGAAAAGCTGTTGAGAAGTGCTTCACTACCACTACATGTGTTCTGTAGTCTTTTCGACAGCGACAGCTCGTCTGCCTAATGATTACCCTGTGAACCCAGTCCTTTTGCTCATTGTCCTCCAGACATCGGTCGAGAGCACTGGGCGTGAGAACGAGTAGGAAGTATTTGGCTTGTCGAATACTACTCAGCAGATTGTAGTCAAATTTGCCTGCCTCCAGCCTTTCCACGTCGAGAAAGACCGAAAATCCGCGCAGTTGAAGGTGCACTTTGAGTAAGCTGTGTGTGAGTGTGTGACAAGGGGGAGGGAAAGGGAAACAAACAACTGATTAGTCAGCACTTAATCAGCCGCTCCAGTTAGCTCTGATGTGTCGCCCACTACTACTTTGGTGGTGAGCAAGAGCAAAAGGGAGCAGAGAAAAAGAGACAAAGAGAAGCCCACTACTTGCCTCGCCAGTTGTGAGCCATTAGATCTGCGGTAGCTGATGAAGACGTCCAGTGACTTGATCGCCTCGTCCAGCGTTTTACTCACCAGACCGGAGATGGAAACTGGTGAGGGCAGCTCCTTGACGGCGGCCATCGCCTCCAGCAACTTCAACCGGTGAATGCTGTTCTCGATGTGACACTCGTGCAGCAGCACCTCTTCATTCACCGCCGACAGATTGAAGCGGTCAATGCCGCTCTGCAGCAGTGAGTACGTGTAGCGGGCGTAATCAGGCCCCAGGTTGCTCAGGACGGCGCACATGTTCGTCGGATCACAGGAGGAGTAGTCGGTGATCTGCTTCAGTTCGGCCAGCTCTCGCATGAAGCGCCTCCTGAGGATGCCATTTCGAATGCCAATGTCATCGGTGAGCATGGGCTCGTTTAGCTGCAGCAGCAGGTCACCGTCCACGCGACTCTTCTCAAACTCGGCAATGTAGTTGGAAAAACCAATCTAGTGTAAAAAAAAGTGTCAATACTTATCAGAAACATCAGAGATATTGACCCACCTGTTTAACCCACTCCTTCACGTCCTCAATGGTCCAGAGGGGCACCTGCTGTGAGAGCTTGTGGGGCACCTCCTCGCCGATTAGACGCAACGCCTGTGCCGCGTACTTGGATGCAATTGCATTCGGACAGCTGGCCACCTTCTGCAGCGCCTCTACTGCGTTGATCTCTTTGAAAACCTGCGATAGAAAACAAAATGGTAATAGAATGTAAACATGAGGCATTTGGGAATCACTCACCGATGTCTGCTCTTGGGTCTTCTTGATCCACGCCTCCATTGCAAAGTGGAATGCTGCTAAGCTACGTGCCTCCTCGCGCTTGCTGCGGAGGACGGGTACCAATCGAAGGAGCCAGTTCTTTGACTGGCCATGAATGTGCGAAGTGGAGCTCTTGGCAAACTCTTCCGGATTATGCGACAGGACAAAGGGCTCCACCAGGTCGAGGGTGCCCGAAGCGAGCACCGCCGCCTCGATCTCCTTGTTGGCCACCAGTGCGGTGATCGCCAGACAGGCGTAGTACTGAATGTTGTCGTCATTCTGAAAGGCCAGCGGAAAGAGCCACACCGGCGCCTCCTGCTTAATCATCGACTCCTGACAGTCGGGACCACCGTAGAGGGACAGGTTGGCCAGTGCCGAGGCGCAGTGGCGCAGTGTGACCGTGTCACTGCTTCTGCACTCGTAGACGATCGTTTCCAGGCCACTAAGGCGGATTACCTCTTTGCAGGTGTCTTCAGAATGCTTGAACAGGTGCTCCAGAATGCCTGTGCCTACGCGCACTTCTTCCTGTGACTTTTTGTTGGCGCACTCCTTCGCAATGTTCACCACATTCTCCAGGCCATGCTCGACGACGTAATTGCGGTTCTCGGAGATGAGACATTGCTCAAGAAGCTGGGCGCTGGCAAAGGCCACCTTCCAGTCGTTTGTCTCAATGTTGCACAGCAACGCCTCCAGCGCCTCACTGGTGCGGATAATCTTGCTCATGTTGAAGCCCAGATCGTAGCCGCACTGCGGCACTGACCAGGCTTTGTGCAGCATTTCGGTCATCACGAGGACGACGTCAATGTCGTCTCGCCTTTGCACCAGCTGACGACAGAGGTTCTGCATCTTATTCTCCAGCTTAGTCATTGAGCCCTTCATGTTGATCGACTCTGTCTTGCTGATGAGCGGACTCTTGAAGGTCTTTGCAATTGAGCTTAGTTCATTAAACTCCATGTCCACCTCGCTGGAGAGCGTCAACATGGCCGGCGACATTGACTCGAGTATGTTCTCAAAGGCAGAAGAGGCGGAGGAGAAGAGGCGACGGGCGGCAGAGGAGGTGGAGGACGAGCTGGACTTGCTCTCCTGGTGAATCATTCCTTGGGTGAATGCCTGTCGCTCCTCTTTGCTGCCCTTGCTGCTACTACTGCTGGCGGCAATCATGTTGTCTGTGGACATGGTCATCGAACTGGAGGCCGCCTTTGAGCTCGACTGGTGCTTCACCACAGTGTCGCCAAAGTGAATCTGTTTGTGATCCTCCTTGGCGGCCATCATCTTCGAGGCGGCAAAACCGTTCGCCTCCACCTTAGACTTCATCGCCGACATGCTGCTCTTCTCGGCGATCTTTGAGTCAGCAGACATGATGACGCGCATCTCCTGGTTCGACTTGGCGCACTTCTCCGCCTTGAAACCGTCCGTTATCAGACGAGCTTTTGGACTGGGTCGCAGAGACAGCTGCCCTGATGGTGATGGCTCATAGGGCGTCGTCGTCTCCTCGCTGTCACTGTCCGGTGGACTGGTCACCGAGGGAATGGACACCTCCACCAGGGGACTCTTATCACCGGCCATCGGCCCCTGGTCCAGGCTCGTTTTCCGACTGTTGGACACTGTCTGCTGTTTGCTGACAAAGTGCGACATCTTATTGGACATGGCCGTCGACTGCTGCACAAAGCAAAAGGAAAAGAGTGAGTAGGAAGGAATCAGTGGTAGATCGCACAGACCTGTCGGGAGTATATTTCCGAAATTTTATCGGCACTTCTCATGTTGTTGCGAATGTTGTTGAGGTTGCTGTTGCTATTGCTGTTACTACTGCTGATGATGATGTTGTTGTTGTTGTTGGCGCTGTTACTGCTGTTCGGATGCTGGTGGTTAGCTTGTTCAGCAGCAGTTGGCACAGAGGCGGATTCAGAGTCACTGCTGTATTCAGTAACGATTGGCTCGGAGCCTTCATTCGACTCTGTGTGTGTGTGTTTGTGGAAATTACGCAGATTGGAAGTGGGAAAATGAGAGAGGATAAGGAGGAAAAGAAAAAAGAGGAAAAACAAGGATAAGACAAATGAACATTAGTGAAAAGAGGGGAGAGAATAGTAAGGGTGGTGATGGAGGTGATTGTTTTAATCAGTGGTCAGGATTGGCCATCATCTATTGATTAGAGGAGAGTACGATTAGTGGGCACAGAGTCTGAAGCTTGAGTTGTGTGGTGAAGGGCCTTCGCACATCCAAGAGCACCATCACCGCCGCCACCATCATCACCAGCAGTAGCAGTGCACAGACAGCTGCAGCAGTAGTATCTCCTGCTGGTGCAGATGAGGTGCCTGCAGAATCGAGTGAATTCACTGCATTCAGTGAATTCAGTGGCTTCTGCTGCTGTGGCGCCGGCGGCGGCTGATGATGATTCTACCGCTGTAGTTGTTGCAGTTGCTGCTGTTGCTGATGCTGCCTTCGTACAGTCTGCTGAAAAACAAATCGACATTCATATTGAAAAGTGGCATTAAAGGCCAGCTAAATATAGCAATTATATAAACAATGCATTTCGATGCAGTCCGACGGGCACAGGATAGCTGGCTGCCTGCTGAACACTGCTGCTGCTGCTGCAAATTCGAATACTGAAGCACTCAGCTCCTACTGAAGCACTACTGAATAAGTGTGAGTGTGGGAGAGTGTGTGAGTGCGTGGATTTTGGTCGGATCCTGGCTGGTTGGAAACTTAGAAACCTGATTCATCGTCGAAAGTATTCTTCATATTGTTGGCGCCTTTGCCGCTCTTGAACACGGAATTGAACGCTTTCTTCATCTTTTGGCTTTCACTGGCATTGGCAGTGAAGTGATGTTAAAACGGTGCAAAGAGTAGAGAGTAGAGAGTGGTGGATGTAGTGAGTGGTAGAGCAAAGAGTGAACAAGTAGACAGAAGCCGATGACGACGAGTGGTCACAATGGTAGTAGGTGATGATTAGGATGCCAGGCCAAGAAGCAGCAGGCGAAGAAAAAGCAGAAGAAGTTGTGGAAAGGTGAGTCGAGACAAGAGCAAGAGTGAGAGTGAGCAGCCAGGCGTGCTCTTGAAGAGGTGATGCGGCGATCACTTGATGCAATCTCCTGCTCGCTGCTCAAGTTTGCTCTTGGCCCGAACTCAGCTTGTCGTCGTCGTCGCCGCCGTTCGCAGTTGGCAGTGCCACCATCTCGATCTCCCATTCTGCGAATCTCACTTCTCTGTTCAGCTCCTTATCTCGCTTCTAGCCACACTCGCTAAAACTTACTTTGTTACTGTTCCGTTAGCTGTCTTCTCGTTAGGTGATGGCAGCTGTTGCCGTTGCTGTTGCTTCTTCTTCTTCTTCTCCTTTCGGTAGTCCGTCTTTCCTTCGCTTGAGTCACACTAATGCTACTGCTGCCGTTGTTGCCGTTGACTGCTGTTGTTGACTAGCATTGCCATCCGATGAAGTGCTCCGATGATGCCAAGTCAGTCAGTCAAAGCACCGAACAAACACACACCAACACTAGCACAGGCACAGACACCATCTAACTATGGCCGATATGAGATGAGCGGCAAAAGAAATGCTTTTTTTAGAAATTCCGCTCACAGCGACGGCCGTGCATGGTGCTATGGTGATGTCTCATACAGCCTGGCAACGATTGGAAAATTTAGAAACAGAAACTGACAGAGACAGAGAAGAAGGAGGCAAACGGTTGAGGGGAAGACGGGCAAGAACGGGCATCGGCTGACATTTGCCATTCGGCGGTGGCGACGGTGGTAATGCTGCTGATGATGGTAGTGGTGATGATGCTGGTGGTGGTGATGGTGGTGGCACACTCCAGTGCGAATTAGCAGAGAGCCATCGAATAACTGCGGTGGAGAAGGTGGATGGGCGCCAGCGGTGTGTAGCTCCAGCGGTGCAGCGATCACCACCGCCAATTGCACGTTGCACTTGTCGTCGACACTGACACCGACGACCAGAAAAACACTTATCGCAATTAATAGCCTCCAGTTTTGTCATAGGAACCGCTCTCTATGTTAGATCCGCGAAAGAACACACTCATTTACACTATCCACACGCACACACACACACTCGCCTCTCCTTCTGCTCTTCTGGTGCCTCGTTGTTGCCTCGATGCTCGCTCTCTCTCTCATCAAGTACCATAAAAAATTCGCCCCTAGCGAAAAGCAGAGAAGGAAAGCGAGCAACCACGAACTCAGGAAGAGGGAGCGAGGAAGAGAGAGGAAATATGCTCACAAAACAGACGCAGACACAAAGACTCGAGTGGTCGACATCACTGGCTGGTGCTCTGCCGGCGCCACAGGTCCACCGGCATTACGACATGAGCACTTTCCTTATAAGTGCATCTGGATATCTTTTTATGGCCACAGCAAAAAAAGAGCGGTAAAGCACAGAGCAACATCAGCAGCAGCAGCAGCAGCACTGCCACTGGCCTACAACCTGAATTGCGTCCATTGATCGTAAGCGATTGTAATTAGTACACAAACATACACACATTCACTCACTCACACGACAAAGTAGTAACTAGTAAATTGTAGTAGAATGTTCAGTGTTAGGGAGGAACAGTGCGGTGCTCTTTCTATTTGTCCGTTGATGTCCGAAGGTGACGCGTGAAGCGCATCCTCTCTGGCGGAGCTGACGTCATTTGGGTAATAAATAAATACAATTTACATAAGGAATTGTTCTCTTCGTTCGCCAGCAGTTCAGGAGCCTTTGCGCATTTGACAGTAGTAGTATTCGTAGTAGTAATAGTGGAAAGTGTTGTACTCTCGACTGGGTGGATTGCAGCAGCAGCATCAACGGCGGCAGACAGCAGGGCACTGTCATCATACTGGCGCAATAATCTGGCACCTCAGCAGTGCGCCTTCACTGTGCAACATTGACGCAATATTCATTTCAATGCACGTCTAGTTCGTCTTCTCAGTCATGCCGATCTTTCTAATTTGTAAATGAAATAAACCCTGTTTAGTTGATTTTCTGCCATTCTTCAACTCACTATCACCATTGGAGCAAGTCGACGGTTGGGGCGACGATTCAGGAGAGGAGTCATCGCTAAAGTAAAAGTTTTTCACTTCATCAACGGCGGCTATCCAGAGTGGGGCACTGTTGGCTGTATCCTCCAAGATATAAGTGCGATTAGGCTGTGAAAATGAGAGAGAGAAAGAGTAAAAAGGGAGAAAGGGGAGAAGGGAAAAGGAAAGAGTAAAGCACATCATTAGCAAGCAACTAGGTAGCGGTGTCGTTAGCGCGAATGAGTCATTACCACGTGTATGTAAAAGTTGCGAAAGTTCTTCGGCTCCGTTCTCAGGCGGCGTGTGAAGGGCACCCTTCCCTTGAGAACCATATTCGCCGGGTCAACGTAGTACAGCTGCGGCCCGGTGGTCAGGAGAAACATGCGCCTGCGAGGGAAGAAGCCTTTCTTTTTATCAATGAGGCCCTGTTTCAGAATTAAATTATTCTCCACAAACTGGTGAAACTTGTTCGTTTCTCGCTGCTTCACCAGATGCTCATCAAATTCTTTCTGAGAGAAATTCAGCATTACTTTTATGAGATTTTCATCCGAGTCGTCGTGAAGGTGAAGTCCCAGCAATCGGGTGATCTGCTTCTCGCCCAAACCCTTCTCTGTCAGTTCAGTGGTCAAGTCTGAAGTGTTGTCCATTTTGGCCACCGCTTGAATCTTCTCTGGAGGTAGTTTATTCAGCATGTCCCAGTCGCCGTTGAGAGGCGCAAAGTAAGGGTGACTTCGAATTGACTCGTATCCGCCTTTCTGAAGATCGTCGTTTGCCCCTAGTCTTTCTGTTGATTTAATTTTCAGTATAGATTGGATCAGGTGCTTGGCATCAGACGGAAAGTCATCAGGAAAAGTGTACTCAAGGTTTTGAATTTTTTGGAAAATCATATACTCATTTCCGCTCACAAATGGAGGCTTACTGGTCAACATTTGATACAAAATACAGGCATATGCCCAAATGTCAGCCATTGGCGTAATTTTCTTATTTGTCAGCATTTCTGGAGACACATATTGAGCAGTGCCTACAAAAGAGTTTTTCCGATTGCGGTATGAATTTAAATTATTAAACATATTCTTATCTTCAATTTCCTGATTTGGGTCGTTGAGGTTTATTGCAGACCCAAAATCAGTTATTTGAATATGTAGTTTTTCTGTCAGAAGAATGTTCTCTGGTTTTAAATCTCTGTAAGTAGACAAAAACAATAAATAGGCGTTTTTAAAAAATGAAATCTTACCTATGAACGATTCCTAGCCGATGTAAGTGCTCTAATGCTAATAAAATTTCAGCCATATAAAATAATGCAGCCTCTTCGTCAAAAACTTCCTGTTGGTTGATAAACGATAATAGCTCCCCATTTACGCAATAATTTAATGCAAAATCTACAATAAAAGGTAAGAAGAATTAAGATAAAATGATCAAGATTTATAAATAATTTACTTACATAATCTGGTTTCATCTTGAAAAGTTGCAAAAAGTTGGATTATGAAGGGTGAAACGTTTTCAGTTAGAACTTTCATAATACTCTTTTCTCGAAGAATCGCTTTCGACATTTTTTCTTTGAAAATGTGCGCCTTTTCACAAACTTTGACAGCACAGTCCATATTGGTGGTCAGTTCTCGAGCCAGGTAGACCTACACAGTTGAGAGGAGCGCTTATTAGGCCGCAAATGACATTGAGATAGGACACTTACCACTGAAAATGATCCCTCGCCTATTACTCTGTCAAAGACAAAGTCTTCCGGGGAACGTTTTGAGACCACCTCCAACATGGTGCTTCCAGGATGATGGATAGGGTGAAATTAAAGAAGGTAGAGAAATGGGGGAGTATAGAGTAATAATGGTCGATAAATGAAGGAGAAAAACTAGATGAGGTGCGCGTCGGTTGGATCAAGTGGACTCAAAGTCGATGCAATCGACAGTGCAAAGTTTTGTACTACAGAAAAACAAACAACTCTGGAAGAGAGCAGCTGAGATACGGTTCGTCATTAGAGGCACAAAGACTATTAAGGCGGAGCATTCACCTACCTTTGAACGTGCTTCCCAATCACGTGAGTGCTCCGCCTTTTCGGCGCTTTTATCACTCGATGACGAAGCGTAAGCTGGGAAAATGCCCCTTCATAGAAGTGGTTCACAGTTAAACTTGTGGCGATGAAACAGTGCCGATTCAGTTTCAGATGACGTTTCTGGTGGTCTTTCTAGTGGTCGTACTGCTGATCTGCATCACTTGAACCAGCTGAAAGTTGTCAAGAAGGGTGATCAAAGCAAGTGGTCGAAGCAGTGGTGATGGTGATGGCACAGACGACTCAACGGTTGCGTGTCGGCTTGTGACAAGTGCTAGGTAGCCAACTGCCACTTTTTTGCTATCTTCCAGCGACGTCCTGTTTCCCCGCCGCCACTGACGCTGTTGCTGCTGCAGCCCGATCGAAGGCCGTAAAACCGGTGCCAATTGACACCAGCGCTGCTGCTGCTGCCGGCAAAGTAGCTGTTGCCATTAATTGCCTGACGAGAGACGCTGTTGTTTTGTTTTATTGCCAGTCGACACTTAATGAGGCATCAATTAGCAACGATGATGAGCAGCAGCAGAAGCAGTGCCTCCCGTTGTCCTTACAATAGCTTTATGGTCTATTTATTTATATTCACTACTATGCCTTCTACTTGTTGGTACTAAGCGGCTAAATCGGCACATTTCTCAGCACTTGCCAACTAGGTGACCTATACGATAGGTCAGAAGCGAAAAGTTTCACTCATTGTTTTATGATGCTGCACTTTAGCTGGTACAGGATTTCAAAGATTGGCATACGTTTTTCGCACGTACCACCCACACATGCGTTTTAAAAAATCGCAAAGGTGTCTTCCAGTATTCTTGCTAAAAACTGGCCAGGACTGCTTTTTAGAAAAGTTTTCAGGCTTTCTAATGAGCCTTGGAGATGGAGCTGACAGTGAGCATTCTGAATTCTGTGAATGAAGTCACCTCGGGGTGCATCACAACGCAATGACATCATCATCATCAACAACAACTTGAAAGTACAATCAATCCTGGTGGTACAGCAGCCAGCAACGTTCGTCGGTCTTGTCGGGCCATCAGAGTTACCAGCAGAGCACCGTCGTCGTTGATCTATGTGTCTCGCATTGCACGTCTTCCCCCTTGGCAGTTGTAATTGGCAATTTAATTGAAAGAAAGAGCAAGTAAATAAATTAACTTCAATCTTGCGGTGATAGTGGCACTGCTCTCTCTCTCTTTCTCGAAGTCTTGGCAGCCACTGTCTTGGCATTTGCTCAACGAAGAGGACAGACTCAAAGGGAAGAAAGTGGAGACCGTCTACAGAAACACACGTTCTACCAAGACTGCAGTTTGTGGGTGCTCTCAGAGAGTCTGCGAGAATACAGGACGTGCGCTTTGACAGGAATTCTCAAGTCGACATGAAGACATGGTGAAGAAGAAGAAGTGGAAGTGGAAAACGGCCGACGGCGGCAAGACGATGACTGCCGCTGCTGCTGGAGAGGTGGCTAGAGATATTTGCTTAAAAAGGTATTTTTAGGCGCCCGATTTCGCTTGCACGGGGAGAAGTGTACAGTCGAAAATGGCTTTCCACTGCATTCTTTGTTCGATTCGGGCAATGTCGTCTTCGTCGCCGTCGCCGCCGCCATCGTCGTAGTCTTCGTCGCCGGTGCTCTTCTCTTCATCATCCACTTAGAGAGAACAGTCAGCGAAGACACCATCCCTCCATCTCACACACAGGGGTGCTAGCAGGCGGCGAATATTTAGCATTTTTAAAACTTTTATTTGCAATTTTTGGTGTCAATTCGGTAAGCGCCTCACCGTGCAACATCTCTCGCTCCCTGCCGTGCAGTCAGTGCACTTGCCACTCTTGCCTACTCTTTCTCCTCTGTCACTCCACTGGTTGCGCACGGCTGTCCCGACGTTGCTGCGACCTTTCCAGTCAGATCATCGGCGTGTCCTGCGAAGAGAACCTCTGCTCAGTGAAAGCGAACTTCATTCGGTGTCCATCGAGTGATCTTCTTTTTTCAATTGCTGTTCACCCTTCTTTCTTTTCACCATTGCCGGAAAAGCCAGCAAAAGCAATGTAAGTGCAATCAAAGTTGATGTACACTCATTTCGCACTGTTTCAGCCATTGTCTGCCCGCTGTGGCATGAGTGTCTGTGTGCTGTAAAGTGGACTCTTCAACCAACTGACAGAGCAGATGTGTGGTGGAAACATCTGCAGACATTTCCTTCCTACTCTTTTCCCTTTATTTCCCCTTTTCTATTTCTATTTATGGTGTCGATTCTACTGTTTCAGAAGTATATATATGATTGCCATTTATTGTACTAATATTGTTTTGCAATTTCGCTTCTTTTTTCTTCACACTCGCCAATCTGCATCAACAGAAGATGGAGCAGGAAATTAATCTCGATGAGCTCACTGACATGAATCTCCTTCAGAATCTGGTAAGTTGTTCTCCCCCTTTCAAAACGTCCATCATCGTCTGACAACAAAAACTTTGCTCTAGCTCGATCAAACTGAAGACATCGATGATCGAAAGGCGATTCGCAGCCGAATTCAGGAGCTGCGCAGCATTGAGCGAGGTTAGGCTTTCCTGTCGAGATTTATTCACACGGGCTCAACTGACAGCGATTTTTTTGTCCTTGATTTAGCTAAGCGTGATGAGAAGTTGGCTCGTCTGACCAACACTCGCGAGGACATGCTCATCGAGAGACAGCGAAAGGCTGCCGAGCACAAACAGCGAACTCTGGCTATGTACGACAATATGGCTCGCTCGGCACCAGCGGGCGGAAAGAAGACCATGGACATTGGCATCCTCCAGACTGGACAGAGTATGTGTCTCAAAGAGTGGTTGTTGTTGTTGGGATTTCTTTTCATACCTAGCCTCCCTTCACAGTTACCCCGCCATCAACGCCCAGTGTTCGGGAGAGTTCGGGTGACTCTCAAGACATTCTGCTGCAGTGCAAACAGGCGGCAGAGGACCGGAAGAAGAAGATTCTGGCCTCCTACGAGGCTGCCGCTCGCTCTGCTCCAGCAGGTGCCACTAAAACGGTCGACATGCAGGAGTTCATTAAGGCAGATGGTTAGCAGTTCTTCTAATGGCTGAGGTCACTTTTTTTTCATCACTCATAAACGTCTTTTCCCTACAGTCTCGAACTACCAACCGATCGTCAAGCCCGAGAGCACAGCCACCTTCCAAATGTGTGGCGGAATTCCCAAAGTGTCTAAGGGTAACTGCGCTGTTGTGCTGTGAGGTGGACGACATTAGAAACAGTTCTTAATACACAAACTCTCTTGTAGGATCGGCACCTGGAACTCCAATGAGCCCTGGCTTCCCCGGTGGCCTCTCCTTCCCCAAGGTAACTGAAGAGAAACCCGATCCGGCGCAGGAGTTCATCCGCGCCCGACAACGCGAGGCAGAGGAGAACAAGAGGCGCCTGTTGAAGGCGTACGACTACGTCTCCCGGCAAGGCGCAGGTCCAAAGCAGATCCTGGTGGAGGAGTTGTCTCGAATCGACAGTAAGTACCTCACCTCCCGTAGTTCAGTCTGACCATCCCAATATTGTCGAGTGTGTTGCCTGGTCCTGAACCTAACCGTGTGAGCGATCCCCTTTCTGAATGTTTTAGTTTCCAGTAGCGTGAACGACGACCGAAAGCCGCCCGCCGCCTGTGGAACTGCACACTTCAGGGGAGGCATCAGGAAGTAGAGCTGATCTGAANGTTTTAGTTTCCAGTAGCGTGAACGACGACCGAAAGCCGCCCGCCGCCTGTGGAACTGCACACTTCAGGGGAGGCATCAGGAAGTAGAGCTGATTGTGCGACGACTGCGCCCACTAACAACTACCGTCTTCTCACTTCCGCCCCTCCCTCTTCTCCAATGGCCCTAACACTGTCTCTGTTTTGATGATGCTACTCCTGTGACTCTTCATTCTCTGCCACACTCCTCCGGGTCCCCAAAACTTCTGCACACCCTCTTCTTCAGTTTTCTGCCGCTGATGATCCTCTCCAAGCTTTTCCCTCCTAAAAATGTTCAAGCAAAAACACCAAATGTTCAACTCCTTTTTGCATGAACTTCTCTCTTTCTTCTCAAAAACTATTCTCTCTGCTACCACACATTACGACTGGTGATTATGATTCTAGTCAATAATAAAACAGACATACAAATGAAACTAAGCATTGCACTGCTCTGTGTCCTTGCCTTCTTGTACACGGCAGCAGCAGCAGCATCAGCCTAGTTACACCGCTGAGCTGGGCATTTGCTGCTTTATATTTAAACTTGGAATTACCTGCCAAGTTAAGGAAAAATGAAAATATTGCCTTCTTTGCAGAAAACCTCTTGAATTGCCTAGTCTTTATTTAGCTAAAAGCAGCGCATTATGGCTATATAATGCAAAATTGGCAAAGTATACAGGAGAGCTCTAATAGAAATTAGAAGATGGAGTTGCGGTGACAGCTGCAAAGGAAAACGATCTTTCAGTGAGAGAGAACGTGAGGACGAGGATGAGAATCGGCAAACGATCAACACCGAGTCGCTGCTGCTGCTGGTGCAACAGGCAAGAACCGAACCGAGGCGAGTGTTTCACCGTCTGCCGCGAACTGAGTACTACTGCCTACTGCTGAACTGGCAATTAAAGCAGTGGATCTTAAAATAGTAACACATCAAGCAATACTCTCTCACACACAATAAAACTGCCGTCTTACTCCTTCCTCTTCTTTTTCTCTTTCTTTCTTTCAAAGGCAGCTTTACGCAGGCTCACAAACACACAGAAGCCCCTCTTCTTCGATTGGCGGGCGTTCAGCATTAAATGGTAGCCGTTTCGGGTAAATCAACGTTGTCAAATCTTGGCCTTAGCAAAAGAAAGCAGTTTCGCTGCCTTTCAGACGAATTGCCTGTTCCATTCTGTTTGTAGTCGCTGCTGAGCACAGTCGAGTTGCCAGACTGACTCATCCTCATCTTCGTTTTCTTCCCCGCTGAGGCCAAAGTAAACAAGTGAGCTGCAAGTGATAATCGTCGAAGCGCCCACATCACACCCAAATCTTCAGCAAACCGAAAGAATGGCGTAAGTTGTGTTTTCAATTGCCCTTTTCCCTCTTGCAAATTAAATTAAATGGCCTCCTCATTAACGCGAATGACTAATTAGACTGCTAGTGTTCTCTGTGCTTCCCTGTGCTCAAAACAGTAAATCTGTGTTCGCTGTGTGTCGTCGATTAGAGTAGGCCTACCAGAGAAGTTTTAGCACTAAGCTTCTGACCAGCTTTTTAGAGCATTTTAGAGAGCCTGGCCTCACTTGTTAGAGTGTCACCGGTGTCGTCAGTGCTAGAGCAGTGTCTGATTAATCTCTCTTTTTCTTTGCCTCTGTACTTGCTGAAACAGAACAAAACGAGTCAACCCAGCCGACATCAAGGATATGCTCCTCCGATGGAGTAGAGCCAAAACACGAGGATACGAGGTTGGTGGCGTCGACTGTTGCACCCGTTGCAACTCACTGCCAAATAGTGCTCCACAGCAAGTGCACCAAACTGACGTACACTGATTCACTACGATCCTCTCCCTCCTTCTTCTTCTTTCCCTCTCTTTCTCTCGCAGGGTGTCAGTGTGGATAACTTTTCCGGCAGCTGGGCCGATGGACTTGCATTCTGCGCTCTGATCCATCATTTCTACCCTGACTCGTTTGACTTCAGCAGCCTTGATAAAAATAATCGCCGTGCCAACTTGGAGCTTGCATTCAAAACTATTGAGTAAGGGTAAACGTAGTAACTCTGATTCCGGATGAACTTTCAGTGCATCAGTGCATTAGCCAGTTCATTGACTGTCTTCCGCTTTTTCCTCGTAGAGAGAAGATTGACGTACCGCCGCTGATTGCCGTCAGTGATATGCTGGCCATGAAGGACAAGCCAGACTGGAAGTGTGTCTTCACGTACATTCAAAGTGTGTACCGTAAGCTGCACGATAAAGACTAGTAAAAAACGCACCACATACTCAAACGATCACAGTGCACCGGTTTTCCAGACTGCAACAGAGCGTGACAAAGCTTTCAGCCTTTTTTGCAATCAGTTATGCAATTAGTTATCAGTGAACAGATCTGAACTTAATTGTTTNGTACCGTAAGCTGCACGATAAAGACTAGTAAAAAACGCACCACATACTCACACGATCACAGTGCACCGGTTTTCCAGACTGCAACAGAGCATGACAAAGCTTTCAGCCTTTTTTGCAATCAGTTATGCAATTAGTTATCAGTGAACAGATCTGAACTTAATTGTTTAAACAGGATATCTTACGAGCAAGAAAAATGCTGCAAAATTTTAAAATACAAAAAAGTTTATTTAAATAAAACAACGAAATGAAAAAAAGATTCACACAGAAAGGCACAAAAGAAAAAATGATAATAAATAATAAATACAAAAAAGACTATTTGAGCTTATCGTCGGTCTGAGGTTTTGGACTTGCGAGACGACCAACTTGTACCGCTGTAGGAGTTTCGTGACCGGCCAGACCCTCTAGAGTAGCCAGACCTGAAAATTAAATTGAACAATAGTTAATTTTCACCTTTATGAGAATGTAAACACGGCTTACCAGTCGTTGTTAACTTCGTTCATTGGTAGGCCCATAATGGAGTTCATGTGGGCATTGGACTTAGAAAATCTATCAGAGAAGGGACTTCGAGGAGGATTCATCGAAGATGCTCCATCAGGAGGAGGTACTTGGCGGCTTTTGGACGAAATCTCCGTGTGCGCAGATCGCCCATCGAGGACGCTGCCGTTTCGCTTGTACGACGCTATAGACTCCATGTAGTCGCCGTTTCTGAGACAAATAATTAAAAGTCAAGCAACTGAGTCTATTTTATAAACTAAGCACACTTACCCAAAACCGTCACAGGAGTAATTGGAGATGTTGCCCACTGGAATACCTCTGCTGCCGTATATCGACTTTGGACCGGCCATTAGTGGATTCTTAATGTTGTACAGGTTTTGCTGCTCCCAGTTGATTTGCCTTTGTCTAATTTTCCTGTAAAATCATGGTTGTCAGTTTACATTCACAAAATAAAATCCCCTCTCTTTATGTACCTTTCTTTACACGAAGAGCAGAGAAGTGCTATTGAGAGAACAGTTCCCAGGAAGATGACTGAAGAGAGGGCAATGATGGCAATCTCAGTGGCGCCCATCTGGCTGATCTTCTCCTGAACAGTAACGCCCTGAATGCGCCGAATCCGGAAGAAACGCAGACTTTCTACAATTTGCTGAGAGTTCTTGCGGAAGACGCTGGTTGATAAAAAACATAAAGTTAGCTAAACGGAAACAAACATCATCATTATCAGAAAGCAAAACGTACTCTAGCAACGTCTCAGTGTCGATGATTTCATTGTTTTGCTTATTGACTCCGTAGAGGAAAATGTCCGTAGAGTGCGTCTCCTGCATTTCTCCCTCCACGTGAGGACCAAGTTTGGCCAGTTTCACTTCGTAGTCTGTCACATTGCTAAGGTACGACAGAATTTCTGGATACTTTTTCTCCACTGTGATGGGCTCCTTGTCAGAGACAAAGAGGATCATCTTTGTCTCCGGCAGAACGTACACCTGTGATTTAAACGTACAATAGGTAAATAAAATTCCAAAATAATACATCCAAAATCACTTACAAAGACAGTGGTGGTTGCCGAGTTGCCGCTCTCACTGCCCTCACAGTCAGTGGCCTTCACATCAAAGCCGTACATCTTCCCGCCGTCGAGGTTGAAGGTGACCATCGAGCGAATGTCCCCGCTGACTGGGTCAATGTAGAACTTGGTGTGCGAGTCATCGCCTCGAGACTGTAACTCGTAGCGAATGGCACTGTTTAGACCAATGTCCGAGTCTTTAGCCTGTATGGTAGAAGGCATCAAATGACTAATGAAATTGTTAAAACCATCATAAACTTACGTTCACTTTGACCACTTTAAAGCCGAATGAAGCCTCCAGTGGCACTGCCGCCACAATGGGGTGATCCTTGTTGTCGAACTGGGGCGAGTTATCATTCAAGTCCTCCACGTGGACCACCACCAGTGCTTCGTCAAATGCGAGGTGATTATTGTGACTTTCCGTGCTCGTCAGATGCTGATAGAGTGCATTAATGTCACGTCCCACTCGCCGGTGAATGACGTTCTCGGCCTTAATCTTCAAGTGGTAGACGTCCTTCTTCTCTCGATCTAAACTCTTTGTCAGCATTAACCGACCGTTTTCAGGTTCAATCTTGAAGGTGCCTACGAGAAAGAGACAATCAGTTCAGAAGTGTTCAAGGGTGCAATCAGCAATTAAGGGGCAATTAGTGGTGACTGCTTAGTCAAAGTGCGACTTACCTCGATAATCCGAGCCCACAATGCGGTAAAAGGACGATTTGCGGGCAATTTCATCGGTGGAGTTGAGATCAATGAGAAGCGTCGGCGTCAGGCTGTTCTCCTTCACCGAAACCTCGTACAGTCGCTGAGGGAAGAGACGAACACCTTGACCGGTGCCCACGATTATGTTCACCTCGGCTGAATCAGACTTTGGCGGTTCAGTGTCGTCCTCCGATTTGACCAGCAAACGGTAGTGATTTCGAAAGTTACTGTCCAGTGGTTTGACTAGTTTCACCTTGCCAGTGCTCTTGTCCACTGAAAATGTGTCAATCTCCTCAGGATCTAAAGCATATAATTTTTAGAAAACGCTACAACTACTTTCAAAGTACGTACTTAGCAGAGAATACTTGAACGGCCCTTCGCCAGCGTCCAACTTGTAAATGATATCACCGGGTTTGGCGTTTTCAGCCACTTCAACCGTGTAGACGGCCTTAGAGAAATCAGGCACTGAATCAGGTGTGTCGGCCACAGTGACCCACAGTTTGGCAGAAGAACTCAGACTGGGATTGCCCCGATCGTAGGCAATGACGGTGATGTTGTAGAAGCTCTTTTGTTCAAAATCTAAAGTAGACAAAGTCCATACTGTGCCGTCTGAAATTGAAGAACAAAAGATGTTAGCTCAAGTGAAGGAAAAAACAAAATTCGAAATTGAGAAACCTTTGCCGTCAATGTAGAACTTGTTGTCATGTCCTGCACCAAGCTTGTAAAACACTTGACCGTTCTCTCCCAGATCAGGATCAAATGCGGCAATTTGCGTCACTTTATGACCAGGATCGAGGTTCTCTGGAACATGCGCCAAATAGGGATCGGTGTAAAATCGTGGTCTTTCATCGTTTCGGTCCAACTGAAAAAGTTTCAAACGAATTAAAACTGAGAAACAATAAAACAACGTCAATACTTACCACGGTGATCTTGACTTCAGTCGATGAATTGTTTGGAGGCTCTCCCGAGTCCAGTGCCTGATAGACAATTTGTGTTAGTTCAAATATCCCATATAAATCTGCTTTATCGTTTTACCGTCACTTCGAATGTGTACACTTCTCGCTGTTCACGGTCGATGAAGCCTTGCGCAAAGAGCTCGCCAGTGTGAACGTCGATTTTGAATGGGAAATCTGCAAAATTAAAAAATGGGATAAACATAGCCAACTTTCAAAGCGACTCATTTTACCTGAAGCAACATTGCTAGAGATGGTGTACTCAACCAGTCCATTCTTGCCAATATCCTCATCACGTGCTCTCAAAACGCCAAGTTTAGTCTTGTCATTGGTGTAGTTGCTCTCCAGCACCGTGAAGCTGTAGTTGACTTGGTCAAACGTAGGTTTGTGATTGTTTACCTGAAGTAGTAAAACAAAAGGTAACGTATGCTCTCTTTCGAAAAGGTTTCACTAGATCACTTACATCGATGATGGTCACGTTGACTGTGGTACGTGCCGAGAGCCCAGCGCCGTCAACAGCTGATACGTTCATAAAGTAAACAGAGCCTGGCTTGAGTGAGCCGACGACGAAGATTTCACCCGTCATCCGGTCAATGCGAATGTCGCCATTGCCGCCGCTGGTAATGTAGTACTGAATCTTGGCGTTGTTGCCCTCGTCAATGTCCGTCGCCTTTACCTCGACGACCTTTGAGCCGGGCTTGGCAATCTCCGGAAGCAGCACGTACAGCGGACCATGCTGGAACTGCGGACTGTTGTCGTTCTCATCCTCAACGGTGATCATCAGGTCAGTGGTAGAGGCCAAGCCGCCCATGTCTCGGGCGGTCACCTTGAACTTGTAGTGAGACCGTGTCTCTCTGTCCAGTACCTGCTTCGGGTCTAGTGGCGTGAAAATGACAGAGCCAGACTTGAGAATGGTGAACATCTCTGAGCCATCGCCCGCGAGGGAGTACTCAATGACGGAGTTGTTGCCAATGTCATTGTCAATTGCCTTGATGATGGGCATGATGTGCACGGCAGTGCCCGCCTTGCAGTTCTCCCGAATCGACCCAGTGTACGACTGCGGGAAGGTGGGAATCTGGTCGTTCTCATCGAGCACGTCGATGATCACCTCGCTGACGCTGATCTTCGTAGTGGGGTGCTTCTCCTCGATCTTCACCGTAAAGACGTACTTGCTGCGCTTCTCACGGTCCAGACCCACCCTCGTGTAGATCTCCCCATCGGTGGTAATGTTGAACAGCTGTCGCACCTCGGAGTTGATGATGGTGTACTTGATGGAGGAGTTGATGCGGTGCTTTCGAGGCTTCAGGTCTACCTTGCCCACAAAGTGATTCTTCAGGTTCTCCTTAATCTCAAAGCGGTAGTGCGCCTGCTCAAATCGCGGATCTCTCTCCTCCGCCTCGTTGACGATAATGTTCAGCATGGTGGTCGTCCTCCAGACGCCATCAAATACCTCCACGGTGATCGAGTACTGCTGCTTCTCGGAGACGTCCAACTGTCGTGAGACGTTGACGATGCCGTTCAGCGGATTGATGGCAAAGGGCACATTGCCGGTGTTTCGACCGAAGGAGTAGCTGAGATTGGTGTTGGCTGCTGAATCGGCGTCAGTCGCCTTCAACTCCGCCAGCACCATGCCCACTTGTGAGTCCTCGGAGATGAAACAGTAGTAGGAGTCCTTTTCAAATTTAGGCTAAACAGGGAAATAGAAATCATTAGGCGTTTGTTTGGAAATAGTAAAACACTAGCATTTTACCGGTGAATCATTGATGTCCTGAATGACGACTGCGACCATCGTTTTGCCGATTCTCGGCGGAATGCCCTTGTCCTTGGCGGCGACGAAAACTAGATGTAGGGCCGCCTCTGGGACGTTGTACTTCTCACGGTCCAGCTCTGAAACGATGGTCAGCAGAGGGCCACCCTCATCGACGTCCAGTCTGAACTCTCCATTGGAGTTGCCGTCGACGATGTACACCTCCATTTGTCGGTTCATGCCGTCATCGTAGTCGACGACGGGCAGACGAAGTCGTGTGCCCACGCTAGTCGGCCCTTCAGTGACGTTCAACATGAAGGTTTCATTGAGGAAGGTCTATACGAGAGATGATGAGCGTTATTAAAATGTGCGATTTAGTCAGAGACAAAGTAAACTTACCGGTTCATTGTCATTCTCATCGAGGATGATTATGTGCACACTTGACCAGCCAGTGTTGTTGGCCGCATCAATGGCGACCACCTTGAGGACATAGGCCGGCGACTTCTCCCGATCAGGCACCTCCTTCACCGAGATGACGCCGGTCTTCATTTCCATGTCAAAGACCTGTTCAGTGTTGCCGTCCACGATGAAGTACTTCAGCTGGCCTTCATCAATTTCATCATTGTCAGTGGCTGTCAGCGTGGTCACCACATGGCCCACCGGGGTGTTCTCCTTCAGCTCGACAATGTACTCTGCCTGCTGGAAGATTGGACTGTTGTCATTGTCGTCGATTATCTGTATCTTTATGCGAATGTTTGCCGTGCAGCGGTGGTTCGTAGCAGACACGGTCAGCGTGTAGATGCCCTGCAGAAACTTGGCCATTCGGTCGCGGTCGATGAGCTTTTTAATGCGCAGCGTTGCATTCGTCACCAGATCGTCCTTTGTGAGGGCGTCAATGTAGAAGTTGTCATTGGAGTTGTCCTCCGTGATCTGGTACTCCAGATTGAGGCCGTTGTACTTGTTCAAGTCCATCAGCATCAGGTCGGGAATGACGACCATGTCGACGGGGGAATTCTCCTTGATGGAGGCGTAGTACTCGGAGAAGGGAAATTTGGCGCACTTGTTGTTCGTCTCCAGCAGGCGAATGACCACACTGGCCTCTGAGAAGCGCCGCTTGTCGTTCTTATTGTACGCCATCACCAGAAAGTGGAACGTGCTTTCACGGGCGTTCATGTAGTCGATGCGCGAGGTCGCAAAGATGCGTCCCGTCTCGTGGTCAATGCTGAACTTGGAGTGCGGCGAACTGGAGATGTTGTACCATATCTGTCCGCCGCTGGGAATTTTGGCACGCGGCGACACCACCGGACTGCCCGGCTCAATGGTGTTCTCCACCTGGACAATGTACTGCGTCGAGGTGAAGCTGGGAATGATCTCCTCGACGGCGTCATTGTACACCTCGATCTGCACGTCCACCGAACTGGACAGCGGGTTCTTCTCCGCTCGGTCTCGGACGATAATCTTGAAGATGTCATTGTGCGGCATCAGCCGCTGCAGGGCGAATATCTGCCCGGTGAGGGGGTTGATGTTGAAGAGCGGACTGGGCGGCTCAATAGAGAACTGCAGCAGATTGTTGCCTCGGTCACTGCTGTCCAGGTCGATGGCCTGCACCGTGTAGATGACCTCGCTGTTCGGCGTCACCGACTGCGGAATGCGAATCACCCGCGGGACGGAGAGAATCTCCGGCGCAAAGTCGTTCACATCGCGCACCTTCACCTGAACGACGGTGGTCACAAACTGCGAATCCTTGGCCTCGTCCCGTGCCTCCACCACTATCTCGTGGTACTTGGCCGTCTCGTAGTCCAGCGGAGCCACCAGCAGAATCTGCCCTGACGTCTTGTCAATGCGGAAAGCGGAAGGGTGCGTGGACTTGATCAGTCTGTAGTTGATCTTGCCCGCCTTGCCCTGGTCAGGGTCGGTCGCCTGGACGCGCACTAGATTAATGCCGGAAATGTTCTCCTCCACCTCCACTGAGTAGTAGAACTCATCAAACTTGGGCGGGTGGTTGTGGTTGTTGGAGGAGCGGACGACGAGCAGCGCCTTGCCAATGTTGGGCGTCACGCCGTGGTCCTGTGCAAAGACCTCCATCTCATAGGTGGCGTTCTGCTTGTTCACCGGCAGAGCACTGACCAGTCGAACGAGGCCGGTCTTGGAGTCGATCTCAAAGATGCCGTGCGTGTTCTTGATCCAGTAGGTCACCTCGCCGTTGTTGGCACTGTCCGGGTCGGTGGCGTGCACCTGAATGATCGTCCGACCAGGGTGCGAGTTGAAGGGAATCGAGACGACGTAGTTCTCCTGCTCAAAGACCGGCTGGTTGTCGTTCTCGTCGATGATTTCTGCAAATTGAAACAGTTATTACCTGTGATTGATTCTTAGATAATTTAGGACACGTACCGATAGTGACCGAGACCGACGTCTCAAACTTGCCATCATTGGCAATCACCTGCAGCTCGTACTTGTCCTGCTGCTCTCGGTCAATGAGCTTTCTCGTGCACAGATCACCGGTGAGTTTGTTCAGATCAAACGCATGATTGTCCTTGCCACTGCCGAGGAAGTAGTTCACCTTGTCCACCGAATCGCCCGAGGTGGCCTCCAGCTTGAGGAAGCAGTGCCCGGCCGCCGTGTTCTCATTTATGGTAATTGAATAGGCGGCTTTGCTGAACACTGGAGGGTGGTTGTCTGAAAAAGGAAAAAAGGTAACAGTTTGTTAGTACTGCTCAAACTGGGCAGCCAGCAAAGTGTCCAAATACGTACTGATGTCTTTGACGTCAATGACGACAATGGTCAGGCCGGAGAGTGGCGTCTGATGGGAGTCCTTTGCCTGCACTAGCAGCGAGAACTGCTTTCGCTCGTCAAAGTCAAGCTGTGCGCCCTTGCCGGGCACAATTCGAATCTCGCCCAGACTGCTGTCAATGCTGAAGTAGTTGTCATCATTGCCGCCCACAATCGAGTAGGTGATGGTGTTGTTCTCCAGGTCCTTGTCGGTGGCCTTCACCCTGGCAATCACCTTCTCCGACTCGTGTCGCTCCAGCACCGATCCGTAGTAAGTGTTGGCGGTGAAGACCGGCGGATAGTCGTTGTTCTCATTGACGCGCACCGTCACCTGCACGCCCAGGCTGAAGTTCTGCGGCACGCCGTCGTCGGTGGCCCGGGCGATGAAGCTGTAGTGCGTCCGGCCGACCAGCGGCTTGCCCACGTAGATGCGCCCAGTGTCCGGCTCGATGGTGAAGTACTCGTGGTCGTTGTCGCTGATCGAGTAGACGATGTTGTTGCCGTCGTCATCAGTCGCCTTCACCTGACCTACACTGGTGCCCTCGACGGCCTACGGTGTGTGCAAACAAAAGTGACCATGGTCAGGTAATTAGTAATTAGCAATAAGGGGACGCTTATAGAGAAGACGAAGAACAATGCCATAATAATCTGCGCGGAACTAACCGATTCCTGGACGTAGTAGGTGTAGGGCAGACCGATGAACTTGGGCGAGTACTCATTAATGTTGGAGACCTGGATGGCGACCTTCGTTCTGCCCCACTGTGGCTCATCGCCGCCGTCCGCGGCCAACAGTTCAAAGTCAAGTCGCGGTTTCGTCTCGTAGTCCAGCGACTTGGCCAGCGCAATGACGCCGGTGGTGTCGTTGATCACAAAGTAGGCGACATCACTCTCGGCGCCTCTAATGCGAAAGTGCACTATTCGCCCATTGTCACCTGAGTCGATGTCGGAGATGCCGTAGAACGGCGGCAGCGGCGTCCCCGGCGGCAGACTTTCGGGCAGTTCAAGTCCGTAGCTGTGTTGTAGTGCAATGCAATGGAATAATAATAGCAGAAGTATATTAGTTGTTGTCCCATTGACGGGCCAACGAGTTGGCAATCATGTCGTTGCTGCCTGCTACAGCACAGCTTTTGCTGGCCATTGTGCGAGCAGTGTCTCTGTGTCTCTGTGTGTCAAAAAAGTGGTGCACTCTAAAACTCTTACCTTTCTTCGTTGAAGCGAGGCGCGTTATCGTTCTGGCAAATGAAAAGATGCAGTGCATTAGTACAAATCGGGGCAGAAGTTGTGGTGGGGAACTGAAGAGTGCTGCACACACACACACATTCACATTCAGCCACTCTTTTTCCCCTGTGCCCTCAGTCATCTCTGCTGCAGCAGTGAGCAGTGTAATTACCTCGTCTTGAATCTCAATTCGCACCGGGACACTGGTGTTGAGGGCATTAATCGACAGTGTGTCGCGTGCGAGCACTCTAAAGTTGAACACTTTCTCATTGGCGGGCATATCGCAGTCGATGGTGTCAATGACAATCAGCTCGCCCGTCTTCGGGTTGATGTTGAACTTGGAGGCGGCGTTGTCCTCTCCGCTCTCCTCCAGCCAGTACGTCACATCCTGCAGGTCGCCGATGCGCTTGGTGTTGGTCGCATTCAGGGCGCCGATCAGCGTCCCGCGGGGCAGATTCTCCGGAATGGCGAACTTGTAGGAGCGCTGCTCAAAGACCACCAGCTCGTCGTTAATGTCCTTCACCTTGATCAGTACCTCTACCGAGGGATTGATGATGTCGGCGGCGTGTGGTCCCTGAAAAGGGCGCAAATTACGCGCCGCCACGAACAGCTTGTACTCGGATTTGCGCTCAAAATCGAGTTTTTCTGAGGTAGTGATCAGACCGGTGTCGGTGTTGATGTTGAAAGCCTTGTCTTCATTGCCCGCCAGGACGAGGTACTTTATGACGGCATTGT